AAAAGGAAGCACGAGGGTCGTACAAAAAGCCAGGGGAACTCCTGATCGCCCTCTCGCTCCGCGTGGAGGCTCGGGGGCTCTTCCTGCAACCTTGCCGAGACCCAGCGGCCTAGGCTCGCACGCGAAGGGCTCGGCAAACAACCCCTCCTTCCGAGCGAAAGGGATGCGCGAGGGTCGTACAAAAAGCCAGGGGACCTCCTGATCGCCCTCTCGCTACATGCGGAGGCTCAGGGGCTCTTCCTGCAAACCTTGCCGAGACCCAGCGGCCTAGGCTCGCACGCGAAGGGCTCAGCAAACAACCCCTCCTTCCGAGCGAAGGGGATGCGCGAGGGTCGTACAAAAAGCCAAGGGAACTCCTGATCGCCCTCTCGCTACGTGCGGAGGCTTGGGGGCTCTTCCTGCAAACCTTGCCGAGAAGTACACCCCGAGGATCAGAAAAACACGACGAAAAAGGGCACCGAGCCCGCTACGGTCCAGAGGTTCGAAGGCTGGGCCGTTTATGGTCTCGACAACCCGCCTCGGGGACTAGCAGTCGGGGACAACTATGGGCGAGCCCGTACATGGCCGAGGCCCAGGCAAGCGATTGCTTGGGATGCCCTGAGTCGTGTCCGAGACCAGCAGAAGTTCTCTAAAGGGGATCCCACCGTAGGGAGGCACCGAGCCCCTCGGGCCAATCGAACGGCCCTGGCACCCGCTAGAGAAGCCATCTGGTACTTTTTTGAAGCGCGTCTCTGGACCACTAGCCGACCCCTATCGAATGGGGCACGGGCCTCCACTTGGACTTACCCGATAAAAGCTCACCGGAAATGTCATCGCCGCGCCCACCGAGAGGTAGCTCGGCATGTTCCACCCTCCTTTCGAGCGAAAAGGAAGCGCGAGGGTCGCATACAAAAAGCCGGGGAACTCCCGATCGCCTCTCGCGCTCAGCGCTGGGAGGCTCGGGGGCTCTTCCGCAAACTTGACGAGACCCAAGTGGCCTAGGCTCGCACGCGAAGGGCTCGGCAAACAACCCTCCTTCCGAGCAAAAAGGAAGCGCGAGGGTCGTACAAAAAGCCGAAGAACTCCTGACCGCCTCTCGCTCTCTGCAAGCGGAGGCTCTGGGGCTCTTCCGCAAACCTGCGAGACCCAATGACCTAGGATCGCACGCACGGGCTCGGCAGGCTCGGGTGCTCCTCCTGCACCCCAAACAAGCGACCCGAGCTTGCTCTCATGGGTCAAGAAAATGCGATAGAGCGCCTTACTCAACGAAGAAAAAGCCCCTAAAGGAGTAAACTCACTCCTCTAGGGCCTCGGGGGCTACACCCGGCGGGTGCGCTCGCGTGCACCCACCAGAATTGCGAGTATAAAACAAACCCGACAAAAGCCACTGAGAAACAAAAGTCTCGAAAAAACCTCGGGGAGAGTATCCCACACTCCCGCCCGAGGCTCGGGGGCTACTGTCGGATACCAGAAAATGGGGTACCCCAAGCAAAGATCGAGAAACTGCTTAGACCCTAAAAACAGAACCAACGGAATAAACAAACGAGGTCTCAGCCGAAATCTCCGATTCGCTCGAGACCCCGTTGCCGAGCCCCAGCAGAAGCAAACGGTTCTCCGACTCGCCCGAGACTGCCTCGCCGAGGCCCCCGTGTCAAGGCCCCCTCGCTCGGGGCCTCGGAAGAAGTGCCGATTCTCTGATTCGCGCGAGGCCGGCTCGACACCAACCCCGTGACCGCCTTTTTGACCAAACTGCTCTGACCGAACATCACATCCAGGCGCCCAACCACTCCGACAGACGCACGATGTCACAGAACGGAGAAGTGACCGGCTACACGCCGGTCGCGTCAAACCCCTACCATCTAAGACGGCACAGAGCAGGGGTTACCGACCACTGTGCTGCCTAACTCCTGCACCAAGGACATCGCAACGTGGGGAGTCAGAACGGGTTCCTATAGCCTCGAAATCAGTGGACCGACCACTCCGTCTCGCCCGAGCCCCCTCGACAGGGCCTCGGATTCACTGATCTTACTATGCCTCGCCCGTCCGCCTCGCCCGAGACCCCCTCGGAAGGGCCTCGGACGAATCGGCCGCGCTCCGCCTCGCCCGAGGCCGGGCTCGTTCCACAACCTCGTCGCCTCCGCCTCAAAAGTCTCTCTGGCAGGCTGTCATATCCGATTAATGCGCTCGGCCGCACCCACTACGTAAGCCACGATCGGCAGTGTGCTGCAACAGGAGCGATGGGACAACGGTCAGATCACCTTTTTTTACCATCCCTACTGACAACACAGGTACCGTATCCTATAGGCGCACGTCTCGCACTATTCCTCCTGATGGCTACTGAGACCCGCATCTGCACCTGGGTCACTTCTCAGGCCTCGGCACGACCGGCTACGAAGGCCGCTGAGCCTCTGCAATCCACCAAGTCAATAAATGCGCAGCATGTTACTTGCAGTGAAGACCATACCGATTAGCCATCTACGGGAACTCCCACGACAACGCCATGCTGCTCCAGGAGTAAATACGTCATCGAATAGTCCTTGCTCCACGTGTAGCTCTCTTATGTACTCCTGGTTTCCTCCCTGCGGCTATAAAAGGAGGCGGCCAGGACCGTTTCCAGGACGACGAATAGAATCACAGATACTCGCACGAACAACACGCCTCGTTCTGTAATTCATATCATCTTCCCTCACAGAGACCTGGGACGAACTCCCTCTCTCGCCTAGCTTGTAACCCCCTACTACGAGCACCCCGGTGCAAGGAATACAAGAACACCTTCTCAGACTGGACGTAGGGATCCATTGCCCGAACCAATATAAACCTTGTGTCTCTTTGCATCTCCATCCGGAATTGGGAGCACGCAGCACAAATTCACTAGTCGGTTAAGGACCCCCGGTTCCGAAACGCCGACACTATGAGTCCTACTAGTATAGGTCGAGTAGCTGCTATGCTCAGGATATCGGTAGCGTGAGTAACCTGCCGTTACTCGCAAATAGGTGATAAATATGATCACTGGTGATAAAATGGTGGAAAGAAAAATTGTGGCCGGGTAGGGATATGGTTGTGTACTGGTGGGTGTAAGAAGTTATGTCCTGCGGCCAACAGGGTATAGCTTGGTTACACTTTTTTCCTGTCTGTGTTGATTAAGGACCGTTCGTTGCATAAGTCTCGAGGTAAGTCACAGATCTATTATCCCGAGCACATACTTGGGTATGGGCGTATCGAAGACTCGTTGCTCTCATCGTGGATCCGGCTCTTTCCGGACCGACTGATTGGAGGCGGGGTGGTGGAGGTTCTTGCACCGCACTGGGTCCGGGACTCAGGAGTGGAGGCTTGGAGTCCAAGTTTAGACGGAGACCTGGACACCCAGGATAGGACGGTGATGGGTTAGTCCTGTTTGTGCTTGGGGTACAAGCGGGACGTGTGTTTTCAGGTTACCCAGCTGGGGACATTGATTCGCGAATCGCAAGGCAATCCGGTACGGCTTATTTTTGGGTCTAGCACCGTAGTAAGAACTAAAAGATGGAAGATGATGAAATGAAACTGTTTTCGGGGTACTCAGCTGGGGGCATTGATTCGCAAACCATAAAGCTTATCATATTCCTTGAAGTCGGAAAATTATTCCCATTAGTCGGATAAGTCTTACGGTATATTGTGTACTCAGGGTTTATTTACCCCTGTTGTAGGTAATGCATGAGAAGTTCCATTGTGTGGATGATTCTTCTGGTGGACATAGACGGATCCTCGTTCTTATCGCTAGATGTTTATTTTATATTTCGTTGTTTATTATTCCGCACTCTGACATTTGGTAACGTAATAATATAATTTTTAAGAAACTCTGATGTATGAAATGGGTCAGTATTGTAACTTGTTTTTATTATTGGATCCTTAGGAAAAATATGGATCTTTTGGGTTCTCCTTTGGGGTGTGCCCGACGGATACTGTTCGCTGTAGCTTGCTTTCGGGGTGCTTAGTATCTGGTGAAAGACGAGCACCTCCGTAAGCGTGTTATTTCGGTCGGTTCTGCCACACATCACCTATGCCCTGTTCATTTGTCTTATAATCCGTACTTTTCAGCTTGTTTTTTCAGCCGGAACTGTTTTTCTCTCACAACAAATCTGCCGAAACAGTGTTTCGGTTTGTTTTTTCAGTGAAGCGAACGGGGCCTATATCTTCATAAATAAATCAACAGTAGATTTTACCTGACTGTGTTCTGTAATCTGAGAATTTTTTTCCGACACTGAAGTACTGTGTTTTAATGTTATATATTAAAAACTGTTGTTGTAAAAAAAGCGTTGGAGCACATATTTTCTGTTCTAAAAAATTAGGTACGGTCAAGTTCAAGTGTTCAACCGGTTGTTTCCAACACTGTACAACGGCAGCTTGGCTTCCACTCGAAGCCAACAGGCCTGTTGATCGAGTTTTTTTACGAAACTGCGTCTTGGGTTGCGCGCCTAAAATAAGGCCTCGTTTAGTTGCGGGCGAAATCGGCGCCGCCTTAGTACCGTAGCTACAGTAATCACTGTAGCATTTCGTTTGTATTTGGTAATAATTGTCCAAACGATGACTAATTATGCTCAAAACGTTCGTCTCGCAAAGTACAACCAAACTGTACAATTAGTTTTTGATTTCGTCAACATTTAGTACTCCATGCATATACCGCAAGTTTCATGTGACGGAAAATCTTCCTTTTATATAGTGCTAAATTCTGGAATTTGGAGGAACTAAACACCCCCTAAACGAGGAGCACGCCTACCCGACTAGCCCCTTCAGCCCAAACATAAATTCTCCTCGGCTCCTCCTCTTCCTCTTCCCTTCCCAAAAATCAGTCACTGGCTAGCCAAAAAAAAACAGTCACTGGCTGGCGGCGCGCTCGGCGATCCCCCCAACCTCTTCGGCATCTGACGAGATCGTCCTCCCGCTCCACCCACGGTGCGTTGCTTCCTCTCAGTCTCTCTTTCGCGCGAGTGTGCAGTGCTCAGCACCTCACGGCCTCACCTCCATCTCCCTCGGTAGGCAGCGGCATGGATGGATCCGATAGCAGCTCGCTCGTGGTGCCCCGCCTCCCCGACGACGCCCTCGTGGAGATCCTATCGCGCCTCCGCGCCAAGGCGCTTTGCCGATCCAAGTGCGTCTCCAAACCCTGGCGTGACCTCATCGCCGACTGCCTCTGCTGCAAGGATCTCCCCCGGACCCTGCAAGGGTTCCTCTACTTCTACGTCGTAAGCGACGACGGCAACGGCAACGGCAACGGCGACTGCGACTGCGACTGTGACGGCGACGGCGACGGCGATGGTGACGGTGACGGCGACGGCGACGGCGATGGCAATGGCGGCGACGATGGTGATGCTGATGCCGACGGCGGCGATCTCTTCAGCGGCCGCGACGAGATGCTGCTTCGCCACGGCCATGGGCGTTTCATCAACCTGCTAGGTAAACCTGTGTCACTGTTGGACCCCTCATTCGCCTTCATGAAGGAGCGGCCGGGCGTCGAGGCTGTCGCCCTCTTGGATTCCTGCAATGGCCTCCTCCTCTTTGGACACAGGCGGGTTTCAGACACGTACGACTCGCTGGGCTACATCGTGTGCAACCCTGTCATCGAGCAGTGGGTGGCGGTACCCTCCTCTGGCTGGACTCCGACTCCACCGGAAGAAATTAATGAAGACAAGTGGAACGTGTGCACCTTCCTCATCTTCGACCCGTCTGTCTCCTCGCACTTCGACCTAGTGCAGTTCTGGCAGGATGGTCTCCTTCATCAAGTGGAAGGGGTGCACACCTACTCATGTGTAACTGGGCTATGGAGTAACAGGTCAAGCGAATGGAGTGGACAGTGTGGTGGATGGGGGATATGGGGATACGGCGCAGACATAAAATCATCCGAACGTGGCAGGGCCTTAGTCAATGGCATGCTGCATATTCTCATCCACCAAGTGGGGATAGATGTGTTTGAAATAGTTGCACTGGATAGCCAAGGGGGACATGCAGGGTCATTGAATGGCCAGATGACCGTATGCATCCTTATGTTGGTGGTTTCATTGGTCAGTCACAGGGGCGCCTTCACTGTGTTAGTCCATTGTATGAGGGTAGTAGTACCAAGTCCTATGGACTGTCCATCTGGGTTCTCGAGGACTACGATACAGAAGAATGGGTTCTGAAGCACAGCCTGAGCCTTTGGCATCTATTTGAAGGAGTTGATCCTCTAGGCCTTTTTCGTTATAGTTTTGTTGGCCTTCATACAGATCGCAATATGATGTTCTTTGTTCATGACGAGGACCAGAAACTGATATCATACGACATGGATAGCAGGGGGGTGCATGTTCTATGCACTAACTCCAGGGCATGGTTCTCCTTATGTTACCCCGTATGTTCCCTCCCTCAAGTTGTTATGAAGCACTGAAATTGTTAGCTTGTGTGTACTCTTTGGATCTTCAATTCAGCAAGAATTAGGTCTCCTAACTCCTAAGTATGAAGCAGCTGTCAACTTGGATAGATCTACTAGAATTGGGTCATGCTTTTATTTTTGGTTGCACAGATCGGATGTCTTCCTTATGATGCTTTGTTGTCCAACTCCAATTACCCAACTGATGCATGCATGTAGGCCAGCTTTATATATGCTACTAGTTATCTTAATGAACTCAGTTAGCCAACCTACATGATGTGCATCTCTCTCTCTCTTGAAGATAATCTGTGCATCTTTAAGTGTTTCGTGTTTCAAAAGCTACCTTTCAAGTTTCATATATATAATAATTCTATATACTGGGATCTTTTTTTACAACTACAGGCGAGTGATTAACTGATTATCAACTGAAACTTCATTTTTTATAGATATATTTGTTATGTTTATTTGTATGCAATTAATAAATTCATCTTCAGTAGTATGTTGCAACCATGCATGATTCTGAAGGGTTTAAGTTTTTCCTATTTTCGAAAAAGATCGGGCATTGCTAACATGCATTCTTAGTGTATAAAGTGATAATACAAAGTGCTGTTGTCGTTCTTAACGTTATCTTGGCTTGATCTTGTAATGAACTTTCTAAATCTTCACATGATTGATGCCTTGAGGTCATGGCTCGACACGTGAGGGCAAAGATGGGGGCACAAGCCAACCCACTCAAGGCCCACAAGTTGATAAACTTGGGCCTATTTGGGTTCTGCCAGAGTTCATCTTCCTTGAAGCTTCCCTTCTAGTTTTTTTTAATAATGAACGGCTTCTATTAAATCAAGAACATCTTACATGCAGCAAGAGAACTTTGTCCTAGTGCACGGATTGCTGAGATTGTATTACAGGGCATGATTGCCTATGGTCAAGGTTTGAGCAAACAGAAAGAGGGAAATTACTAGAAAAGGTCCTTAGCTTGAGATGCTAGATTATGGGAAGTGATATTTTGACTTCTGCGAATTTTGTAGGCCTGATGTTGTACCTCGCTATTGTTGCTCTTGAACTCTATTAATAGAGGTTTTAGAGTCCAGTCTTGTAGTCCCGATGGAGAGTGACTTGACAGCATGTTAACAAGAAGTTTATTGTCACATATGTAATTGGCTGCTGTAAACGACTAGGCTAAATCGCAAACGTTCACCAGATTTCAGTCGGGCGAACGATCCGATAGCCGCTGCAATTTTCATTTCATTTTAGAAATAAACAAATCCCACCGCTTTCCCCATTCGGCAGGCGCTTTATTTTATTTTTGCACAAACCAATGTGCCGGTCTCGTTATCTTTTCACGCGCGTGCACATGAACCTATCGTTCTCTTTCTCTTGCGTATAACTTACACAAACTGAGTTACACAACATAACTTTAAAGGAATAAGTTAAGCGTGCTAAGTTATAAAACATTCTCTTTTGGTTTTATCAGCACTTTTCTTTTTGTTTCAGAAACTAATCATTCAGAAACAAGGAAAAGGGGTTTAAAAAAGGGTGGATGAGAAAAATAAAAGTAACTTTTACACCATAGACTACACAATAAAATCCCATGAGATGATACAAACTTCAATAACAGGTTACAAAATAGATTTGCATAGCTTGTACAACTATGATATTCAGCATTCTGTGTCTTCAATTGCAAGATCTGCAAAATATTTAATATTTAAAAAGCATAAATACAAAAAGAACAAAAGTTATCAACAAAGAAACACATAACCTAATAGCAAAAACTAACATGATAATCTAGCATAGGGTGATAAATATAAAACTAAGTACAGTAAGTTGATCATATATAACTCTATACAATAAGTTGATCAAATAAGTTAGGTTGCATGCACGTGAAAGGACATGTTAGGTACATAACTCTAAACAATAAGTTAATCAAATAAGTTAGGCTGTGTACCATAAGTTAATCAAATAAGTTAACTAGCATACGCATGAAAAGACAAATTAGGTACAACTTATACATATAGCTTATACACATGACTTCAACGTATACATTCAACGTGACAATGTGAAAGTACATAACTTATACTATATATAACTTACTACGTGACAAAGTTATATGCATAACTTTTATGTATAATATTTTGTGAACAAACTTATTAACATAATTTCATAGAAAGCTACAAAAATTATACAGAAAACTTTTATGTATAACTTGTTTATATAACTTGATGAATGACTTAGATACAAAGTTGGATGTATAAGTTATATTCAAGAACATAGATGTACAAATTAATATTATAACATATTAGTAGAAATATGAAAACTATGTACGAAAATAATTATGTAGTATAACTTATAAATATATAAAAAAAGAAAAAATGGTAGAAAAAACAAAAAGAAAGAAAAAGGAACGTGCGTGCAGGTGTAGCCATGCCACTGAATGAATCCAACCAGCAAAAAGTTATTCAATACAATTTATGAGCATAAATTATAAGTTATATGCCATAATTTAATACACATAAATTGCTACTGGAAAAATTCTTCTAAACATATGCAAGTGAGAACACACCGGTGCAGATGGAATTAAAAACAGATATATCGTTTAGAAGTTATAGCATTTTAAAATAAATATTTTCCTTTTTCAAAAAGTGACATCAGCAGCCAGTCCATGCGCGCGCTGTTCGCTGAACAGGAATAGGGTGAACACTCGCTCAAATGGATTTGGGTGTTGTAAATCTGTAATGTTCAGCATAGATATATGGTTTTAGCTGCCAAAGTAATAGCAGCTGCTTCTGCCATGATCGAGTACTTGATTGAACAGCAGTTATCCTCTATGGAGATTGGTTGGTCTGCACCTTTGTTTAGAATGAAAACGCCCAGTCCAGCAGGCCTTGAAGGGGTGTCGAGGTCATCAGGCCTGAGGGATGCATCTGAGTAACATCTCTTGCTTCTGGTTTGAGAATCGATTGATTTCCCTTTTGATCTTCTGTACCGTTTATGCGATGGTGATTGCTTTTTGTTTACCTGCAAGAAAATAATTGGTTGCTAATTGTACGTCAGCGTTAGTTTCATGGTGCAATTGTTGAATCTGTAATCGTTCCAGGCTTTTTAGAGGTACCAAAGAAAGGTGAAAATCTTTTGAATCAAATCAGGTGTAGCAAACTGCGAGGGTGGTATTTGGCCTTCAACAATCGAACACACAGGCTGTCCGGGTGTTCTAACAGTCTCCACGCTTGCCTAGCGATTTTGCCGCGAGGTTGATACAGTTCCTCAGGCAAATGCTTCCCAAACTTGGCAAGCGATTCTGCATGGACTAGAGCTGCTAAAAAAGGATTGATTTGGAGGATCGACAATGGCAAAAGCGTGAGAATATGGCGAGATCCGTGGATCCCCGGGGACTACACCTGCAGGGTCACGTCACTGAGGGGAAGAGGCCGTCTGCACTGGGTTTCGGAGTTGCTAGATGCTGAGGGGAGAGGCTTGGACCATAAACGTGACCTTTAATGCGGCAGATGTAGAGCTAACTGCCAAGATCAAGCTTCCAGAAAGAAGGACAGATGACGTTCTGGCCTGGCACCTTGAAAAATCCGGAATTTTCACTGTAAGAAGTGCCTATCGGCTGGGCATGAATCTTCAGAATCTGCAGTGCGCCACGGCCTCCAGTTCTAGGCCTGAGAGAACGAGCAGTTTGGAAGAAGCTTTGGTCTGCGAACGTGCCACCAAACTGGAGACGCGGAGGAGGAGCGGCGGGGCATGGACAGGGGCGTCGGCACTGTCACAGGGCTGCGCGCTTGGCGCTGCTGCTGCCGTGCTGCGGGAGTGGAGAGAGAGGAGTATGTTAGACCCACGGGACACGGGAGGAGGTGTTAGACCCACGGGAGAGCGGCTGGCTAGGCTACATGGTGTGCAACCCTGTCACCGAGTGGGTGGATGACGGTGCCCTCCTCTAGCTGAACTCCAACCCCACCAAAAAAAAGTTGTAGATGAGTGTGAAAAAAACATGCACACCTTTATCATCGTTGACTCGTCTGTCTCCTCACACTTTGACTTAGTGCATTTCTGACAAGATGGTGTGTTAGAAGGTGTGAAAAGGGTGCGCACTTACTCGTCTTGAACTATGTTGTGGAGTGACAGGTCAAGTGAATTAGGTGGTGTATGGCAAAAATGAGGAGGCTATGGAGCTATAGAAAAGCCTAGGTATGACAGTGCCTTTATCAGTGGTGTGCTGTTTTTTCTCGTCTACCTATCTTGGTACGAGGTGTATGAAATAGTTACAGTTGACTGTCAAGTGAAGAAATGCAGGGTTATCCACTAGCTAGATCAGCGTCCATTCCCTTAGGCTACTTTTATTTGTCAATTATAGGAGTGCCTTTATTATATCAGTAGTGATTTTAGCTCTCAATCTGGGTTCTCCAGCAGAAGAATGGGTTCTAGAGCACAGTGTAAGCTTTTCGCAGCTGTTTGAATGAATGGACTTTGAAGCTTGGTCTGCATACGATTTTGTCGGCCTTCATACATATCGCAATTTGATCTTCTCTGCTCAACGCTTGGACCGGTCACTGATATCATACGACATGGATAGCAGGGAAGTTTGTGTTCTGTGCACTCTATGGCACGGTTATCCTTATATTACACCGTATGTTCCTTCCTTCAAGTTGTTATGAAGCACTGAAATTGTTAGCTTGTGGGTACTCTTTGGATCTTCAGAAAGAATTAGATCTCCTAACTGCTAAGTATGAAGCAGCTGTCAACTTGGATAGATATATTGGAATGGGATCATGCTTTTTTTTGCCTGGATTGGATGTCTTTCTTATGATGCTTTGTCCAGTTACAATTAGCCAACTGATGCATCCATGTAAGCTAGCTTTATGTATGCTACTAGTTGTCTTAATGAACTCAGTTATCCAACTTATGATTTGCGGACGTGTTTGGTTCCCACCACTGGATACCACACCGAAGCTTAGGTGGCGCCACATAAAAAGTTATGTGCTTGGTTGGTGAAATAACTATGGCAACTCCAGCTTTTCACAGTTGATTTTGAGTGTGACGGCTAAAATCAACTCCTCACCTTAGGCGATGGCGGTGGCGTGCTCTGGCTAGCAACCAGCACGCCCTGCATCTTAATGACATCGGCACGGGCCCACGTACGCTTCAAGGCTGGCCTGGGCCAGCAAGCTTGTCATGGCGAGCCATCTCTGGCCAGCACATCTCTTGGTTGGGGACATGCTCTTCTGTTGGAACGAATGAGAGAGCTAGAATGTTATGAAGGCCGGTACGGTTTCAAATGGTTGCTGTCTAGTCCATAGCTCTTTACGGACATTTTATTATACTGTACTAGTTCTTTTGGTATATATAAAATAAACTCGTCAGTGCAAAGAGGGAAACACTACTACAGAATCGAGCATCACTACCGGTCTCATCAGTGCCGGATTTCGGCCAACCGGCAGTGATGACCCATCAGTGTCGGTTCTGGGCTTCAAAATTAGAAAATGATCGAGGGTGGACCAAAACCGGCGGTGAGTGGATGGTCACATATCATTGCCGGTTCTAGCCAAGAATCGATAGTGATTTGGTGCTATCACTATCGGTTCCAGCCAAGAACCGACGGTGATAAAATGTTAGTACAAAAAAGCTGGCGCCATCCTCTCCTCCCTCCTCTCTTCCATCCCGAGCACATAGGCGTGTGTTTGGCCCTCTTCCTTTATTGTTGCGGCTGTTCTTCACCACGAAGCTAGCTCTTGAATTTTAAATAATGGCTTGATCTTTTTGTTTGAAGATTAGTAACAAGCATCCACTCCTTTGATTTGGTTGCTTAATT